AAAGCACCATAAGCCAATTACCCTCACTTCTCAGTCCATCCATCAACGCTGCCCAAACGTTTCGGTGGTTAAAATCTTCGCCTTCTAATGTCACATTTTTATGTAAACTACTTTGGCATCCACTACCTCTATTACACTTTTCAAGCCAGAGTAAACGACCAGTTCAACCCACTAAGTAATTGAAGTTCGACTGCTTTCCAGACGCAATCGTAAGGGACTTCCATCACACAACCCTGTGTTGGAGACACTTTTTTATAAAAATATGAAAATATTTTGGCCTTTGTTATGATTTGCCCTATGCGGCATTTTGCAAAACTTGTGAAAACTTGTTGAACTTAAGCTATTATTATTTTAATTGCCTTCCTCTTAATCGGTAATACATCCTTCCCATTTTAGTATGATATGTAAAATCGAACGTTGCCATGTTAATCAAAGAACATGAATAAAAGTGCTCATTTTCAGCAATAAAAAGTAATAGAGTCTGCATTTAAGGTGCAATAGATGGAAACGTGACTACTTATAGGGAAATACAACATTCTGAAATAAGTTCCAGCAGCTCAACAATCTTACAACTACGTTTACTGGACCCTTTTCATTGTTACAAGACGTAGGCGCGGTAAAGTCACTGAATTTGTAACTCCGCGTTAATCCTGTTCCAAGCAATCTCAACACACACATTACTGAAGGGTCGTGAAGAAGAAATATCAAGAAAGGACAGTGGGATTGCATGCAACTGTGGCAAAAACAAATCCTCTCTTCAAATCCGTCCTGTTCTTGAATACCACCGTAATTGCCTTCAGTGACACCTCTTCCGCAACAGCCGTCTCAGCAATATTCAAGGGCGTTAAACCCAATCAGAGGGCGCAAATGGAGACTATGTGATTAGATAAGGCTGCAGGGAGGAGACATCTGCATCAGACAACGTTGTTTAGCTGCTATGACTTACATTGGTAAATTGCGTTAAAGCTAATGCATTGGAAGTATCATTCTCCGGATTCGGAAGCACAACACTTTCTTCACCTTCAGCACCTGCAGTCCTATTAGGTTGACCCCTTTGATCCCCATATAAGTACGTTGTTTACGGCGCCATGTTAGTAAAGATGAACCTCCTTCTCAGCCCTACAAACCAATGAGCCAGGCAAATCTACAAATTCTAGCATTATAGACGCTCCGTTTCACGAATACGTAGAATTCCTGTCAGAGCTGCATCTAGTTGGGTAAGAATTGCATTACAGATTGTGATGGTGATATATGCAAAGAATAAATTATTTTGAGAAACTGTTGGCTGCCAATCAACTTTTTGTTGTGAATGCAGCAGAAGGATTTGAAATCTATGCGCAACCTTTCTCAATCTGCCACACGACGGTCATCGTGTTTTGAGTACCCCATTCTAAGTCTCTAGTGTCCTCTGGCACGCATCAAACACAAATACGGCATCCAAATTATGTAAAATCAACCGCAAATTTGGTGCAGAGACTGCACAAACAGCTGTCACCAA